TGCTCACACACACTCACACCAGACCAGACTGTGTGTCTGTGGGGACCAGTGTCTCGAGCCCGAGCTCCTGCTCACACACACTCACACCAGACCAGGCTGTCAGTGGTGTCAGCGGGGTCCAGTGTCTCGAACCCGAGCTCTTGCTCTCTCACACACACCAGACTGTGTGTCTGTGGGGACCAGTGTCTCGAACCCGAGCTCGTGCTCACACACACTCACACCAGACCAGGCTGTCAGTGGTGTCAGTGGGGTCCAGTGTCTCGAACCTGAGCTCTTGCTCTCTCACACACACACACCAGACCAGGCTGTCAGTGGTGTCTGTGGGGACCAATGTCTCGAACCCGAGCTCGTGCTCACACACACTCACACCAGACCAAGCTGTCAGTGGTGTCTGTAGGGTCCAGTGTCTCGAACCCGTGCTGGAGAATAACCATGCGACGCTGTGCAGCTCGTCTCATTCATGTTTACTGCTGCGTGGTGCTCCAGCCTGCTGCAGGTGTGTGCACTGATTGTGCCCTCGTGTCGATGATGTCACTGATGTTCCCGCGGCAGCAGGATGTTTGCAGCTGCCGCGCTGTTGCCATGGTGACAAACACAGCTCTCAGCCTGCGCCACTTCCTGTTCCCAAGAGGAGGGGGGAGGTTTCGGGCCTCTCTCGCTCACTCACACCTGGCTCCACCTCTGCAGGTTTATAAAGCCCTGCCGCCAGCAGCTGTCGCCATGGCAACAAAACAGGTAACAACAGGGACGATAAGAGCGTGCAGGGACATCACCACTGTCGGCTCCTGGCACTCGCACACACACACACAAAAACAATGACGCACACAGCCGGTCAGACAGGAGCCAGACGCGACAACTTACTGTAATTGCTGCTTAGATAGAGCTGTTCATGTATACTGAACAGTATTGAAATGCATTGTCTCTGCATAGCTACAGCACTGTACTACACAGCCTGAACACTATGGGGGCGGAGCGGTGGCTCTGTGGCTAAGGATCTGCGCCTGTTGCTGGAAGGTTGCCGGTTCAAATCCCGCAGCCGGTAGAGGAATCCTACTTCCCTGGGCCCCTGAGCAAGGCCCTTAACCCTAACTGCTCCAGGGGCTGTACAATGGCTGACCCTGTGCTCTGACTCCAAGCTTCTCCACCTGTCTGTGTGTCTCATGGAGAGCAAGCTGGGGTATGTGAAAAATTCCTAATGCAAGAAATTGTAAAGGGTTAAGTGATGTTATACTGTCTTTACATAGCTACAGCACTGCACTACACAGCCTGAATGCACCACAGGGCCTGGTACAGACAGAGCACAGAGCACAGGGTACAGAGCCCAAAGCACAGAGCACAGGGCGTGGTACAGACAGAGCACAGAGCACAGGGCGTGGTACAGAGCCTGGAGCAGGACACAGAGGGGGGCGGTGAAACCGATGAGACAAACAGCATCAGCAGCCTGCTGTCCCCCCATCCCCCTTCCTCACGCTGCTGTTATCTGGGTGTGTCGCCATGGAGACTGGGGGGGTGACGGGCGACAGCTCGGCTTTCCAGGAACGCGGCCGCCCAGCGGGCCACTTCCTCTCCTTCGCAGAAAACACGCAGCTCCTTGACTACAGACAGGATGTGATGTCATCAAAGCCCAAGGCAGCTGCAGACACAGGCGGGCATGCGAGCTAAACCAATAGTGGGAGCTGAGAGAACTGGAATCTACTCCACGTGGAAGTGGGAATTTGGGGAAGACACTCCAGTGGACATAGACAGCTGTAGGTGCAGTGCCCCCTGGTGGACAGTGGAGATCCTGGCACCCTGGCCCTCGTTGACAATGGAAACGGGTTCTCTGTTCCCCCAGCACCCCGTGTGAACAATTGTACTCACCGTATTTAAACAAGAAACAGGCAAAAACAGAACAGGGCTGTGTGCATGAGACACAACACCAAGCACACAAGGGAGCCAGCACAAACAAGACAGTGTCGCTCAGGACTAGAGTCCCTCCTAACAGCCTGGTCAGCAGTTCCTCTGTCCTGCCTGACCTGTGAGGCCGGACCCCTGCAGTGGAAAGTGGGATGACAGGCGCTGTAGAAACCAGGTTGTTAGGATGAGAACATCATGAAGTCACAGACGAGAGGACATCATCTGGCCCGTTTGGACCAGAGGGACATGTTGTGCTACTTAGAAACCAGTCGATCTGCTCCAGACGTTTCCTGGGTATCGACATCAACATCGTGTCTGGGCACCCTGTTCCACTCCCCCACAAACCTTTGTGTAAAGATGTGCCTCTGGCTTTGGGGGCTGTTGGTTGTAAGGAGGGGGGTTAGTACGACTATCAGAGTGGGGCGGTAAATGTCCCCACAAAGACAGTAACCCCTGTCCCTCCCAAAGGGAAACCGCCTGTTTGATTGTGAAGGCAGTGTGAGAAACTGTCGGGGTGCCACAGTGTCGCTGCACGCACACATCACACGTTATAAAGTGAAACTGGCGGAAATCGAGGACGGGCCCAGCCGACATCGCTGCTCAACCAGCACGGTGATACCCCGCACACAAGCCGAGGGCGGCCTCTGGTGGCGGCAGGGGCGAATTGCAGGGCCAGGTGCCGACACACGAGCCGAACCTCCGCGGGCCTCGAGCCAGTGAAAGACTGGAATCGCAGTCAAACGGGGTGACGAGCCGGCACTCCTCCCCTGAGCGGAACCATGAATTAAGGAAGCAATAATTCAGGAAAACGGCGGGTTTTCGTCGTCTTTGTACAGCTCGTCGCTCAGGTCTGCATCCCCAGCCTCCTCAGTAAAATAAAGACACACCAGCACAGGACCGTGATCTATCGCGCTCAAAGTGAGCCCACGCGTGTTTGTGGTTTTTAAAGGCGCGCGCACCGGGCTGCGGCCTCTTCTGGGCTCACTGCCTGAACCGTGTCGGCAGGTGGGGGTACCCCCGGGGGCCCGGGGTGTGCTATTGACTTGTCCCCCCTGTGTTTCCTGGGGTCTCACGGGAATCCGTGTAAGTCCTGGCTCATCTGTGTGAACCCGGTCTATCCCTCTGGAATGCAGTGCCTGTAAATATTCACCGACACGAGTTTGGACAGCTCCTGCCAGAGACCGCCTTGCAAACTAGGATAGAGAGAGAACGTTTAAAATTGTCCAGGGGTTTAGTCCTGTTACACGAACAGTTTCTAGACGCGAGCAAGAGGATTTATGTGTGTGCTGTGTAAGGCTGGAGATGAAACTCTTAACATCTGTTACCTGTATGTAATCAAGAGTTGTTTTCTGCTAAACGTGATCTTTTAGCATTTCCGTGTGAATGGCAGATTGAAGGAGTCTATTATATTTCACGTTTTAAGATGTAATACGGAAAAAGAACATCTTTTCAAAATGAATCTTTTCGATAGTAGAGCCACAGTACCCATTGGTTCGGTGCTGCTCTCTCTATCAACATGTATGCAGTACGACTGAAACGCAGAATTACTTCAACTCTGTTGTGGTGGTTAGGTTTGTAATTATCTCTGGAAAAACATTATTCTGTGTTTTTTCTCGATCTTATTAAAGGACTCTTCAAATCCCCGCCTCAGATTCCTTTATCTAGCTCTAATTCAGAAGTCTAAATCATCCACTGCCCTCGTTTCCAAGTGTTTGAAACATGTCCGATTCCGTTTGACTTTTTGGGGTGAAAGAGTGTACCTATTTTCCGTGTTATCCGATTTGTTTTGTTTTTTTCTTCAACATGTTTGAATGTTTGTCTTGTATCGTTATTGGCAAAAAACAAATCTGTAAGAATTTTTCATTTCTTTAAACTCTGTGGGGAATCGCCGCCCACTGGCGCAGGAGTGAGGACTGCTCCCCGACTGTACCCCCGCTCTCGCAGCGCGCCAGGACGAGCCCCCCGGCGGGAGATGCGTGGTCCTGCTCCCCGCCCGTCTCCCCGGGAGCTGGCTGTTCAAGACCAGCCCTGCACCTCTCTGCTGCTCTTAAAGAGTCTCCGAGCTTCCCTCCCTGAGTGCCGGCGTCTCTGCTTCGCTCTGCTGCCGGATTTCTGACCCGCTTCGCCAGGACTCCCGCGCCCGGTATCAGCCTGTGCTCGACCGCAGCTACGCCGCTGCTTCACCGCCAGGGGGCGGCCGCGGGCGCCACTGCCGACCCGGGCCCCCCCGCAAGAAACCACCACAGCTCGAACTGCTCTCCACCGCTTTATTTCAAGATCAGGGGTCCTTCATGTGCAAGTCCTTCGTGCGGGAAGACAGGAGACCCGGCAGGGTTAGAAAATAAATAAAAGTCCTAAAGAAATCATCCACTTGATCAAATAAATACATGAACAAAGATAAAATACAACAAAAGTAGAGATTACTGGGCTGCACTGTTTCTGGACAACTGAGATGCTACCTGTCACCCCCTCCTCCTCCTCCTCCTCAGTGAACTCCCTCAGCTGTCCTCGTCATGTACAGCTCTTCCCTCCGTTCTTCATCACCACCAACACAAAACTCAACAACAACAAGAACCGCAACTAAAAAATAAAAACTCTGTTTCACAGCTCAGTTTCTGTTCAGCCGTCTGACCTCGGCTTTCTGTCCTCTCCCTCCTCCTTCTCCCCCGAACCACTCTATCCCTCCTCTCTCTCCGCCCACTCTCTCTCCCCTCTCCCCCTGCTCCTTTCCCCTCTCCTCTCCCTGTATCTCCCTTGCTCCTCTCCCCTCTCCTCTCTCTCACCCCCTCTGACTTGCTCCTTTCCCCTCTCCACTCTCTCCCCTCTCCTCTCTCTCTCCCTTGCTCCTTTCCTCTCTCCTCTCTCTCTCTTCCCCTCCCTTGCTCCTCTCCCCTCTCCTCTCTCTCTCCCTTGCTCCTCTCCCCTCTCCACTCTCTCCTCTCTCTCTCTCTCTTGCCCCTCTCCCCTCTCTCCCCTCTCCTCTCTCCCTTGCTCCTCTCCCCTCTCCTCTCTCCCCTCTCTCTC